AACTTAAGGGGGGGAAGAGAGAGAGGGGGAGAGAGAGAGAGAGAGAGGGGAGAGAGAGAGAGAGAGAGAGAGAGGGGAGAGAGAGAGAGAGAGAGAGGGGAGAGAGAGAGAGAGAGAGAGAGAGAGAGAGAGAGAGAGAGAGAGAGAGAGAGAGAGAGAGAGAGAGAAGAAGAAGAAGAAGAAGAAGAAGAAGAAGAAGAAGAAGAAGAAGAAGAAGGAGCAGGAGGAGGAGGAGGAGAAGAAGAAGAACGAGGAGGAGAGAGACAGAGACAGATACAGTGAGAGACACAGAGACACAGACAGAGACAGAAAGAAAGAGAGGTATGAAGATCAATGTGAACACGGGGGACAGAAACATCTCTGGGAAAATGGTGAGTTCTGAATCCTTCCCTTTAGCTATCTTAAGAGGAAATGTAATTTCAACAAAATTATTCTCCAATTTGATCTGCTTCTTAGTATTGTAATTAGCAGTCAGTGGGTTGTGATTTCTATCTAAATGTTTTTTCTACAATACATTTGCCTGTCTATCAGACACCAAAAACAAACATAGCTCGCCTCTTGTGGTAACAGCTGCAGATAGGGAAGAGGTGGGGAGGGGGAGGAACACAGGCCAGCTGCTTCCTCTCTCAACCAGCCTTGACAAACCCTCAGAGGAGGTAATATGGTACCAAAGTGGGAAGCAACATTGACCACCCCAGCACTGGCCTGGGAAGCCAGAGACCTCGCTTTCCGTCCTGGATGTGCCTCTTAACCAGGATGCCAAGCTACCTTGAACAAATTGCTCACCCTCCCAGAATCTGTTTTCCTTTTTGTAAAAATGTGAACAATAATCTGAGAATCCGAGAGTCAGAATGCTTTAACTGGAGAAGATTTTAGAGGACTGGCACATAGAAGGCACCTTAGAGACCATCTAGTCCAACTCTCTCATCTTGTAGATGAGGAATCAGAGCCAGAGAGATGGGAAGTGACTTGCTCATCCCTTTATCCATCTTCTAGCAATGCCATGAAGTCCTATAGCAGTTACTGTATAAAACAAGGATAATACTGATTATCCTGGCCCCTACTACCTAGAAGGGTAGATCTATTTCATTTTCACCCTTTTCCAGGGTTTGGTGGGACCCTTACGGGATATAGTGGTACCTAGGCTCTCTACAAATGGCCTTAAACCCTAACAGATGGTACTCCCCCAAGTGTAGGGGGAGTCCTCTGCACCTGATTTCCATTTGTTTTTGTTGTCATTCAGTTGTGTCCGACTCTTCATGACCCCATTTGGGGGTTTTCTTGGCAGATAAATTGGAGTGGTTTGCTATTTCCTTCTTCAGTTCATTTGACAGATGATGAAACCGAGGCAAACAATGTTAAATGAGTTGCCTAGGATCACACAGCTAGTAAGTGCCTGAGGCTGGACTTGAACTCACAAAGATGAGTCTTCCTGATTCCAAGCCCAGCATGCTATGCCATCTAACTGCCTAAGTTAGCAGCCACTAATTATTATTGGTCACTAATAATCGGATTCACTTTTAAAAGGAAATATTTACTTCAAAAGGCACCACAAATATACACTCTTACAGCCTCAACATATGGGTGGCATAATTCTTCCTTCCTAGTACCACCTCAGCATCTGAGGAGGGATTTATGGTTTAACTTGGTTCCTATGGAGCAGAATGCCCTGGAGCTAGATTAAAATGCAATTGGGAAACATTTAGCAAAATAAATAAAAATACAATACAAGAAAGATAATGGTTAAGTCAATATGAGTTAATACTTGAGGTTGATGTCCTGCAAAAAGCAGTTCCAAATCTAAAATCCCTGAGTCCAGGCACCTTCTGGCTTCAACAGGCCTCCTTGATGGGCTGATTGACCAGCCTGAGAAGGACAAATGATACTGAACAAGCCCAAACACCTCTCAGGTCCATTTCTCCAAGCAGGGCTAGAAGAGGAAGAGAGCAGGGAAAGGAATTCCTTCGCCTATCACTTGGTTCAGTTCAAGGTGCCTGGGCTGGGGAGGAATTGGGATCTTCACCCTCAGGATGCATTCAGTAGGAGTGAGCTTGAAGAGAAAAAGGAAGAAAAGGGGGCAGGGAGAGACCATCTTTGTCTCACCAGTTTTACCTAGCCAATCAAAGGAGACTCCATCCACCCATGAGATAGAGAATGAAGAGCGCTTCCATTTTAGTGGATCTGGGCATCCCCAGGTGAGCCCCCCTAGTAGTACCTCCACAATAGGAGCATGTTCCAAAGGCCTCATTAACACAGGCAATTTATATCCTCTCTTGAGAGGCAATGTAGCATAGACAAAAACATTTTGGACTTGGAAATAAGGAGACCTGGCCTCCAATCCCACCTCAAACATTTCTAGGTTTCTAACTGTATGCAAAGGGACAGCTAGGCAGTGCAGGGCTGGGCCTGGAGTCAGGAATACTTGTCTCACTGAATTCAAATCCATCCTCAAACACTTACTAGCTGTGTGACCCTGGGCAAGTCACTTAACCCTGTTTGCCTCAGTTTCCTCATCTGTCAAATGAGCTGGAGAAGGAAATGGCAAAACCACTCCAGTATCTTTGCCAAGAAAACCCCAAATGGGGTCAAAAGAGTCAGACTCAACTGAAACAGCTAAACTATTGTAGGCAAACTCTTAATCTCTCAGAGCCTTAATTTCCTCATTCTTAAAATGGGAATAGTATTTGCACTACCTTTCTCACAGGGTTGTCAGTAAAGAAAGTGCCTTTGCTAACTTTAAAGTGCTACAGAAATGGGTTATTATTATTGTTTACAATGCTTTCACATATGTTAGTGTTAGGTAGGGACCTAAGCTAAATGAGGGCAGGTATTATGATTTATATTTTCCCCCCATAGACCCTTGCACATAATAGCCTTGTAATAAGTTATAAATAAATCTTGTTGATTGATTCATCGTGAGACTAACTACTATGAGATCTGTGACATTCCCTACCAGCTCTAAAGCTGATGATGTTATGATGTTTGTGTTGGCTAGGAAAAGATTCTTGCTTGTTTCACAGGTAAACACACAGGTAACACTGTTTGTTGGGCAGGAGAACACAGGAGGACTCCTAACACTGACAGGTGTTCTAGCACAGGTTCACTTTTGATCTAGTCAGACAGGAAAACAGCTTTGGAGGGGTTAATTAAATAAGCTTACTTTATTCTAGTCTAATCTTCTCAATAGGGTTGCTGTTAATGGGAGCACCAACTCCTACAGTGTTTATCCTTTCCCTAATCCAAGATCCACTAAAATGTTAAAATGGTAAATAAATGGGGGCTGGTTGAGACAAACATATTCCTCCCAAGTCTTGATGGGGGTCGATCAAGGCAGGTACACCCATTCCTCTATGCATTACCCAAATCCCCAATCTCGAACGGGTTGCTGATAATGGGAGCACCAACTTCCATTAGGGAATGGCATTCTCTAATCACACTTCTCACAGGGTCAAGTGGGAATAGGAGTACAACTCCTCATCCCCTGAGCCTCAATGGGGGCACACAAATGAATTTATAGGGCAACAAAACAAAGACGGCATCTTGCCAACATTAAGCTCACAATTTTACATTGCTCCATCCCTATATCTCACTGAGCAAGCATGGTGGAGATGTTTACAAGTCATGAGCCTGGGAAATATTATCTAACACCTGGAAACTAGAGATTGTTATGGCCATGGATTGTGGAAAGAAGACTCTAAGAGAGAGTAACAAAATTCCACCTTACACACACTAAAATCCACCTTACTAAACAGAAAAGAAGTGGTCAGCTAATGGTCTTAGCCGTGAAGGAAACTGATGATTGCTGCTGGAAGACTGGAATTGTATAGTAGTGGCTGAGCAATTATACCATTAGGTATTTATGGAGCTATAGTTATGTATTCTCTTGGTGATTTAAAAATTGTGCCACTTACAGCATGAATTTCTCCTGTGTGGTCAAGTCCAGGAATTCTTCCCAACTTCATTTTCTTGAGTGGAAAATTTTGAAACTCTCTCTCTCTCTCTCTCTCTCTCTTTCTTTCTCTTTGTCTGTCTCTCTGTAGATATATATGTATATGCATGTGTATGCGTGTACATTGTGAATGAAGTGGGCAAAGGAGAAAAGTAAGGGTATGTGCTTATGTATGTGTGTGTTGGAGTATGGGGAACCAGTCAGGGTGTATGTATGTTGAAGATGAGAGAGAGAAAGAGAAAAATAGGGTGTGAGCGCACGTTTATGTTTGAGAATGGAGGTGAGGAGGATCAGCAGTGAAGAGGGGTGTGTGTGTGTGTGTGTGTGTGTGTGTGTGTGTGTTGGGGGATGAGAGGAGGAAGGAGCAACAGTGACAGTGTATATATTGGTGGAGGGCAACGACAGTGAGGGTGTGTTTGTTTTGGAGGGTGAGAGAGAGGAAAGGGATAAAGCAAAGGTGAGGAGTGGAGTGGGAAACAGGATACACGGAGTGAGGCTATGTGGGGCGGGGAGAATGACAGAAGGTATGTGTTTGGGAGATGGGGAAATGGATACAGCGAAGGTTTGTGTGTATGTGAATGCATTTCACATATGTGTATATGTGTTTCTATATATTTATATGTACATATAGTCATGTACATGTATATATTTATATGTGCTTGGTGAGTACACGTAAGATTACATATACACACAGTTTCAACTTTAATTGGGAAGAATTTCGGGACCTGTTCAGGTATATAGAGAAGAAATCCATGCTGGAGGTGACACAGCTTTCGAACCACCAAGCGTCTCTATACAGAGAGCTATATAAATACATCATGCGGTGGGGCGTGCGTGGGGGGATGCGCCGGGGAGGGGAACGCAGGCAGCCACCTGCACGAGTTCGCGGTTGCTAGGGCAGGCTCCTTGGGCTTAGCTTCCCCGCCGTTGCCCCGGACGACCGTCTCCGCCAATCACTGCGCGGCTTGCTGGGCTGTGGGCGCGGTCCGCGGTTGCTCCGGCAACTCCAAGCAACAGCTGGGTGGGGGGAAACTGCTGGCGAGGCAGCGGAGCGGCCAGGCGGACGCGGGGCGATCCCGGGCGGTGGGGAGTGAACTGGGGAGCCTCGGCGCCCCCTCCCCGGCCCTGGGCCCCCCAGCCGGTCCCCAGAACTTCACGCCCGTTGCTGCTTGTGAGTTCAGGCTGCGGGAGGGTTGGGGGGCCGGGCTCCCGGCTCGGGGAGGCTGGGTCTAGGGGAGCGGGGCGGGGGCTCCTGAGACGAGAAATGGGCTTGTGCACCCAGAGCCGACCGGGAGGGAGCCTGGCTCGGGTCTCCTGGACTTCTCAACTTGTCTTCGGCGGCCAGAGGGTGAACACTGGCTTCACTTCCAACCCCACCCCTCTTCTTTACTCCAAATTCTTGAGCATCTCTTTGTGTGCTTAGCCTGGTTTTGGGGATGTGTGGTGGGCATATGCAGACCTGGGGTCCTAGAAGCCCGAGCTGGAAGAGAGCTTAGTTTTGTTTGCAGGCTCCCTGAGGGCAGGCCCTGAGCCAGATAGTCTACACCTGGCGTGGAATTCTTGCCCTGCGACTTCTCTTCTTATTTATTATGTGCCAAGTGCTTTACAATGACTAACTCATTCGAGTCTCACAACAACCCTGGGACTTGGTGCTATTTTATAGATGAGGAAACTGAGGCAAACAGAGGTTAAGTGACTTGTCCAGAGTCACACAGCTAGGAAGTATCTGAGGCTGGAATTGAACTTGGGCCTGGAGTTCTATCCACTGCACCACCTAACTGCCCCTATATTACTTGTATACTGTTAGGTAAGCGTTTTTAACCACTGAAGACCATAGTTCCCTGACCTGTAAAAGGAGAGGAAGGGGGTGATCTCTGAGATTCCTTCTTGTGCTAAATCTTATTTTATCCTAAATTATGGATGTCTTATTGCAGGACCACAGGTCTAGGTCTGAAAAGGACCCCAGAGGCCATTTAGTCTGGCCTCCCATCTCCTGCCACCCCACATTTTACAGACAGAGAAGATAAACCCAAGGCTTAGCCCCAGGCCCACCTTCTGCAGGAGACATTTCCCAGTTTCCTCCTCCCAGCTGCTGGTGTCCTCCCTCCCTTTGGACATTACCTCCCATCTACTCTGTATGTATCTAGGTATTTGTATGTATACATATGTAGCATCTATGAGACAATATGTAAATAACAAGATGCATCTAAGACCCCTTAGATTGTGAGCACCTTGACTTTTTTTTTAAACTTCTCTTTTTGTCTCCAGCACTTAATAAGTGCCTGTCATGTGACAAGGAAAAGGAGTTAGAATGAAGGTGTGTGGGTGTGTTGAGGGATTGCCTTGGAAAAAGTGATAGAGAGGTGATGAACGTGTTCGGGGAAGGGTGAGGTGTGTGCATGTTGATTAAGTGACTCACCCAAGGTCACACTGCTAGCAGGTGCCAGAGCTGGGATTTGAACCCAGCTCTTCTTTGAATCCAGCATTCGAATAAAATGCTTTAAGGTTTGCGAAGCACTTTACCATTATTATCTCACTTGATCTTTACAACAACTGTAGGAGGGAGATGCTGTTATTCTCTCCATTTTACAGGTGAGGAAACTGAGGCAAACTGAGTTTAAATGACTTGCCTAGGGTCACTCAGACACCTAGTGTCTGAGGCCAGATTCGAATTCAGGTCTTTCTGACTCCGAGTCTAGCCTAGCTACCTCTACATTTATTACAGTGATATGGGTGAAGGCACAAATGATGTGGTTATCAAGGTGACAAACTTATCAATATGACACCGTAGCTGTGAGGGATGGCTAGCAGGTTGTAGGATAGTCAGGACTCTGAAATGTTTAGCAGCCCAGAATGATGGGCAGAATCTATGCAACGTGGTCGAGAGAAGCATTTGGGTCTATCTCTGGATTAATAAGCAGTGAGCGTGCAAACAATAATGATGACACAGGTAGAGCTCTCTGATGATAGGAGATCTCAGGATAATACAGGTGTGCTTGAGAAGATCAAAGCATTCCTATTGTTGTTATTCTTGTTCAGTTGTTTTAGACTGTTTGTGATGCCATTTAGAGTTTTCTTGTTAAAGATACTAGAGTGGTTTGCCATTTCCTTCTCCAGTTCATTTTACAGATGAGGAAACTGAGACAAACAGGGTTAAATGACTTGCTCAGGTCACTCAGCTAGTGTGTGTCTGAGGCCAGATTTGAACTCGGGAAGATTAGTCATCCTAGCTCCAGGCCTGGCGCTCTGTGCACTATGGCGCCACCTAGTTCTGGAGAGCAATTTAGAACTATCCTCAAATGACTATAAAATTGTGCATACCCTTTGATGCAGCACTGCCACTACTAGGCCTGCATCCCAAAGAGGTCAATGAAAAAGGAATACATAAATATTTATAGCAGCTCTTTTTTGTGGTGGCAAAGAATTGAAATTGAAGGGATGCACATCAGTTGGAGAATGGCTGAATGAGTTGTGGTATATGATTGTGATGGAACACTATTGTGCTATATAAGAAACAACAAGCGGGTTGGTTTCAGGAAAACTGGAAAGACTTATATGAACTGATGCAAAATGAAGTGAGCAGAACCAGGAGAATGTTGTACACAGTAACGGTAATATTGTAAAGATTATCAACTGTGAATGATTTATCTATTCTCAGCAATAAAATGATTCAAGACAATTCAGGAGTTATGATGAAAAATGCTATCCACCTCCAGAGAAAGAACTGATAGGGTATGAATGCAAATTGAAGCATACTTTTTAAAAGCTTTATTATTTTTTTCCTCTGTGTTTTCTTTTGCAATATGGCTAATACAGAAATATTTCACATGACTGCACAGATATAATTTATGTAAAATTGCCTTCTCAAGGAGGGGTGAGGGGAGAGAGAGAGAGGGAAAGAATATTGAACTTAAAATTTTAAAAACTAAATGTTAAAAATTTTTTGTTCACATGTAATTGAGAAAAAATAAAATAATTTTTTTTTTCAAAGAAGAGACCAGGTGAGCATTTGTTTCAGATGTTAAAGTTTTGATGAGGACCTGAACTAGGGTAGAAACCATGTGACTGGAAAAAAAGATGGATGTGAGAAATATACTGAAAGTAGAATTGATAAGACTTGTCAATCAATAAAATATTGGAGTAGAGAAGAAAGGAATTAAGGTTGACTCTAAGGTTGTACACTTGGGTGACCAGAAGGATCATGATGCTATTTAAAGAAATGTGGAAGTTGGAGAAAGCGCAAGGTTTTTACATGTTGAATTTGTGATGCCCTATAGGACATCTAATGGAAATTTCAATTAGAGAATTGGAAATGCAGTACTGGAGTCCAGGAAAGAAATGAGGGCTGAGCATATAGATTTTTAGAGTATTTTCTACACAGAGATGATAAATGAACCCATGGAACAGATGAGATGATGAAGGGAGTGAATATAGAAACAGAAGAGGGTCCAGGACAGCCCTGTGAGATGCCCACACTTAATTTAGAGAAAGAGGATGATGAGTCAGCAAAGGAGATAGGAGAGGAGTAGTCAGAAAGCCAGGAGAGCTCAGAGAGCAGGATCACAGAAGCCAGAGGTGGAGAAAGAGTCTCTGCAGATATTTTGGTCATCAATGTCAAATGCTACATAGAGATGAAGAAAGAGGAGAGCTGAGGAAAACTCATTGCATTCAGTAGCTAAGATTTCTTTGGCAACAGACTGACAAGTGAGTGGGAGGTGAAGAAATGGAGGCAAAATAGTGTATGTAATGCTTTATGGAAATTTGGCTTGAGAAGGAAAAGAGACATAAGTGTTAGGCTGAGAGGATAGCAAGACCAAGTAAAGTGTTCTAAGAATGGAGGAGAGCTGGGCACATTTGAAAGTGGAGGAAGGGGTGTCAGTAGATAAGGAAAGATTGCAGGTGAGAGAAAAAGAGAGATTGCTCAAGGGTGCAAAGTCATAGAGGAGATGAGAACAGATGGGATAGAGAGGAGGATTGGAGATGACAAAGAGAAGGCCCACTTCATCAGAGATTGGAGAAAAGGAAGAGAAAATGGAGGATGATGAGGAATTTTGAGGTGTGGAGTTGGGAAAAAGAGGGAGCTTGTCACGGTTTCTATTTTCTCAGTAGAGTAGGAGCGCAGGTCTGCTCCTGAGGAAGGGAGAAGAGGTGTTATAGAAAGTCTGAAGAGAAAGGAGAAAGTTTGTAATGGCTGTTGTGGAGGCTATGATAGACAATCAAGCTATGAAGGATAAAAATGTTGCTGAACAGCACTGAGGAACCAGTTGAGATAAGATAACAGAAATTTGTAGGAAACCTAGTTGATGTGGTTCTGTAATTCCACTCCCCCAGCAGTGTATAAGTAGGAATGAAGAAAGTACATGATGGGGATAATCTAGGCTTTGGTTTGACACAATGTGAATGGCAATAGAATAAGTTGTTAGTGTGTGGTTGAGTGAGTCAACCGTGGGGTCATGACTGTGAAGGGAGAGAGAAGAAAGACGGGAGGCCAGAGCAGAAGTAAAGGATTGGAAGAAGAGGGAGAAATGGAGACATTGGGGAGGACTCATTGACACAAAAAATAGGTTTGGGAGGTTTGCGTTAGAAGGAAAGATTGAAGAATAGGTGGTGGTCGCAAAATTGTTGAATTATGTCTTGGTTTATATTCTAGCAATGGCAAAAATCATAGGAAATAAAGCTTGTCATTTAGATGGACAGTGATCTTAAACAAAGCTCATTGATTTTAATAGTACTATGGGAGATTTAATGATTGTATATTGGAGACCTGAGTAGAGTGATCAAATTTCAGAATACAATGGAATGTAGATAATATTACAAGTATGCTCAAATGGATATAGGATTTCATTTATATGAATACACCCTTTCACAATGCAAATGTCAGCCCATTCATGACTGACCATCCTGGGTTACCCTTGTCCATGTCTTCCTATCAGGTAGTTGTAAATAGACCATCTGATGTTCTAGGAACCATTCTTCCTTTTTCTTAGCATTAGGAGCATGCCAGTGAAGTATGTGGTTTCTGATGGGTATGCCTACCTCTGGACATGTGACAGCTCATTTTTCTTTTCATTCATATGTTTCCTTAATGACTTTCTTTACACTGCTTCTACTTTATAATTTTTTTTTTGGTAATATGTTGCAACCTGCTCATGCCCACCTCTGCCTCTTCAG